CAATAAAGATGAATATTTTCTCAAAGTCATATCATAGTCATTTATTTTACGATTTCTTTTTAAAATTTTTACACAACACAACAATATTACAAAGCATAGTAGACATACAAATTAAGTATTTAAATTCAAACTTTTCACTGCAGTATTTTTAACTCAGTAGACAAAAATCTTTTAAATATCTTTAGTTCTACCAATTTTTACGTGTTTTTCTATAATTTCTTTCTTAATTTGGCCTGCATGGACATTTCCTGCAGGTTCTAATCAACTTTTTTGAAACTCATGAAAATAAGGCATTATGAAAGCTTGTACTCAAATGTTGGTGGGAGAGAATCCATAGGTTAAAATGTACAAGGGAATATGTCGGACAGGTTAAGCCCCTCGTCAGAATTCTTGCATTATGGATAAATGCTGTCATGCATACGTTATGGTACCAATTATGGTAATCCCTTTGCTGCCACTCGAGAATATGTTTGGACAGAAGTTACTGTAATCCCATCACATCCACCCATATGAATATGCATTAGTTATAATATTCATAATCCACACTGCTGCCACCATTCACATGTTTGGTAATCCCACTATTGCAAATCTTGCATACATTTGGGAGTGAGTTGTATTAATCTCACCACTGCCACCCACCCATGCATTGCATGCAACTGTATTGATATGTGTATACATATACCAAGATGCATTGCATGTGTGTTTAAAGGGGAGGATTTATTAGGTTACTGTCGGAGTGAATGTATACGAAAGATAATAAAAAGATGATCTCAAACAACTTGATATTTTCAGTGTTGATTTCCATACATGAAAGTCATCAGCAATAAATATAAAAAAGCATGGTGATTTATAGAACAGATATCCGTATATCAATCGTGTAGATACTGAAAAAAAAATTGACACCTGTGTGTCTCATACTACCAAAACTGGCTACCATATTTAGTGTAGTCTAGTGTTCGTAAAGTCTTAAAAAATATCTAGATTCAAGAGAATTTAACCAATAGGTGTTGATTTTACTTTTGAATGAAATATTTCATAATGCACTATCAGACATAGGTGTATTTGGATTTTTGGCATATGGGCCAGTTCATGGAAGTTCGGTTTGAGCTTAGTATGACTGCATTTGTGACATTGAAAAATACATGTTAGTATTTGTGAAGACTGTGATAGTCATTATCCTGATATCAACTAGGATAAAAAAAAGGATATTCTAAAAATCATGGAAATATAAACAAAAGTGAGGGGTCACCATATATACATGTACAAAAAAACAACAGAAATGTTAATATTGGCAGAACCTATTAAATAAATATATATATATATTTATATTCGGGATATGTATAACTCCTTTGTGACATATTATTGTCAGACAGTTCCTATTGAATGTGATTGCGCTCTCTACAGGGCAATTACTATGTCTAACACTACAAATCTGCATTTTTTTGCTGTGATTTTTCGTCTCTCCTCCTGGCAACTACATATTCCAGATAAGTAAGATAACCATCGTTGTTAAAATCGTCTTCTTCTAACACTTTATCAATGATTTCTATGAGGAAAGAAGAAAAAAACATTCATCCCAAATTAGATTCACAATATAGCCGGTGGTGGCGCTCTTACAGTCATATGGGTACTTGATTGTTGATTGTTAACCTAGCGCATCGTCCGGTTTCGTATTCGTTCGAAATATGGGACCTGTGGAAATTTATTTTTATTCACATTTGCATACTGGACAGCATTTTTTTAATTTTCATTGTGTAGTTGTCACGTGTTTTTTTTCCCCATCCTCGAAATTTTTTCATCAAGGTCCAATGAGAGACCAAATGTCATACACTTACAATAATGCTTCACAATTGTGGGTTATTTATTGTACCTGTATAATATCCCATTCTTGTTTTCACTTCATTTGCAAGATCGCCATCATCTTCGAGGTCGTGCTCCATCATGTGACTTAGTGCAGCTAACATCTCAAGTCCATCCAACTTTGTGTTATTGTCAAAGTCGTGCATTCTGTGGCGGTAGAAATATACAAGGACATTCTACGTGAATTGTGTAACATGTAAGGGGTTGGACATTAGAAACTATGGGAGAAAGATGAAAATGATAAAGAAATTTAAAAAAAGAAAAATTACCGATTCGGAAACAAAATATATTTATAAACAAATTAAAGAAACACGTGACAAAAAGAAACAACAACAAGTAATATTCCTGACAAGAGAAGGTTCTACTTTAATTGCAAAAGTCACGAGCTAATGCAGAACTTTAGGATTATACATTTTTTGGTGAGAAATTAGGGTTAGGGTAGTTTAAAGGTCAGTATATTCCAACATAATCTGATTAAAACGAGAAGTATTTTGCGAGTGTTTTGTGCATTTAAAATGTTACGGATACAATAAAACAAAAGTACAAGTGGCAAAAGTAAGGCGAAAAGAGGAAATTATATCCAGTAGCCAAAACAACAGATCTTATCAAGTTCGCTTGGAACATAAAGATAAATACGGCTTATATCAAGATAAAAGTTGTATATATAGTTATGTTACAAGCAACGAAACCACAAATGATTCCATACTTACTTAAAATAGTGAAATTCTAACTCCTCGTCCGACATTTTTGACTCGTCCATCTCTCCTGCCACGTCTTTCAAATGCTCTTTAACGTGTCTGAAACGATAACATGACGTGCATCATACATGGCGATAAAATACTAAACATAAGGCAAGAGCAAAACGGTATATTTTTAAGAAACTCGACTGTAGGATAATACAAACACGATTACTAAAAGTAACAAACAAATCTAATACAAGCATCGTTTGCTCAATAACTTTTAGTAAATGGTTTAATTATAGATTACAAAACAACCCTTACAGGGTTTTTTACGGTTGTGTCATTCTATATTAGCAAGGTAGTGAATTACGAAGCCACATGTCTCGTGTTTTAGTTCAGCAATAACAACTCTAATACAACTTACAAGAATCGTTTGCTCAATAACTTGCAACAAAATAGTTGAAATGTTGTTAATGTAGGATGGATGAACGACCACAAACGACTGACCCGATATTTTCAATAACTTAATCCCGTCAAATGTGATGTTTTCTCGTCGCCACCTTAAAGCGGAGGGGTCGTCACCTGCGCACGCGCGATAATTGAGTCCCAAGCGACGATAACAACACACGCTAAAAACGCAAAGGCCCATGGGTAGCCTGTTTGTGAACTTTGGCCGTCTGCCGCATGCGCAGGTAACGACTTCCCCGCGTGGGAGTTTCAACAGACAGAAATAAATAAGGCATACGTAATTACTGCAAAAGGCAATACAAATATTTTCATTTTTATTATTCAAATTTTTGACCCCTTTACATAAATCATATATCCACCCTGCATTACAATGTAACATGTAAAATATATAGTATCGTACACACAGCAGGAAATACTATTATCATTATTTTGACAATAAAGATGCGATAATGAGTAGTTCATGCTATTGAAGCATCTTCAAGGAAGCGAATCTATTATGAATTATTAGAACACAATGGATACGTTGTACGAATGTCATGCTTAGATGATATCCATTCGGTTATAATAATGGAACCGCATTGCAATATTTTTTTTTTTCTGAAGCTGTTCTGATACATGATGATACACAGTCCCTCAACACCGGACTGTGGATGGTTCTGAACAAGGTTGTACATTATGTATTTCATGTAAACATTGGAATCGTGCACTCCCGATAGTACTAAATAGCACATTTATGTCATTTACATTGGATTCAACAAAGCCAAATATTTACAAACACAAACAGCAGTTATTCTTTGTATAAACCCAAGCAGTGACGTCGGCTGTTATACCGGCCGAGCCAACCCAGTCGTCTCGATTTTGTTTTGGATGAGATTGATTTCAAATAAAAATAGTGGAGTTTACAAATATTTATTTTTCAACTATATTCATAAGTATAAACATAAGTTTGTTTATTTC